AAGGACCTCAATGGAAAGAGGCCATTAAAAGTGAAATAGATTCTATCCTGTAAAATCATACATGGGAGCTAGTGGATCTTCCACCAGGAAGTAAACCACTAGGCTACAAGTGGATTTTCAAACGAAAAATGAAAGCAGATGGAACTATTGAAAAGTATAAGACCAGGTTGATAATAAAAGGTTATCGATAACGGGAACGCCTTGATTACTTTGATACATATTCTCCAGTAACGAAAATAACATCCATTAGAATGATACTTGCGATTGCTGCTTTGCGAAATCTTGAAGTACATCAAATGGATGTTAAGACTGCCTTCTTGAACGGAGACTTAGATGAAGAAATCTATATGGAACAACCCAAAGGATTTTCGTCTCCAGGGCAGGAAAAGAAGGTGTGTAAATTGGTGAAATCATTGTATAGCTTGAAATAAGCACCAAAATAATGGTATGAGAAATTTGACAGTGTCATGATGGAGAGTAGATTTAAGATCAACGAGTGTGATAAATGTGTCTACGTTAAAGGCACTGAAAATGGCTATGTCATTTTATGTCTTTACATTGATGACATGCTTATTGTTGGCAGCAACGATAAGGTGATCAAATCCACTAAAACCATGTTAAATTTGAGATTTAACATGAAAGACATGGGTCTAGCTAATGTTATACTTGGAATCAAAATTTCAAGAACATCAAATGGTCTTGTTCTAAGCTAGTCACATTATGTGGACAAAATCCTAGGAAAGTTCAGTAAGGATGATACTAAAATGGCTAGAACCCCGATAGATACGAGTCAACATCTATCTAAGAACAAAGGTGAAAGTGTGTCTCAAGTAGAATACTCGAGAATTATTGGAAATCTGATGTACTTGATGAGTTGTACAAGACTAGACATAGCCTACACAGTGAGCAAACTGAGTAGATACACGAGTAATCCAGGAGCTGATCACTGAAAAGGAATAGTAAGAGTACTAAGGTACTTGAGATATACTCGTAATTTTGGACTGCACTATAACAAATATCCAGCGGTCATTGAAGGATATAATGATACTAATTGGATATCCGACATAAAAGACTCAAAGTCCACGAGTGGATTTGTGTTCACATTGGCAGGTGCAGCTATATCATGGAAATCTTCTAAACAAACAGTGATAGCCAAATCCACTATGAAATCTGAGTTTATAGCTCTAGATAAAAGTGGTGAAGAGGCTGAGTGGTTACGTAACTTCTTAGAGGATATTCCAATATGGTCAAAACCTATACCAACAATTTGCATATATTGTGATAGTCAATCGGCAATTGGAAGGGCACAGAGCAACATGTATAATGGTAAGTCTAGACATATACGTCGTAGACATAATACCATTAGGCAACTACTCTCAACTGGAGTTATCACTATTGATTATGTAAAGTCAAAGGATAACATTGCGGATTCGCTAACCAAAGGGTTAAATAGAGAGTTAGTTGAGAAATCATCGAGAGGAATGAGACTTAAGCCCTTGAATGGATAAGTTAATATAAAGGAAAACCCAACCTAGTTAACTGAAGATCCCAAGATCTAGGTTCAAAGGGACAACCTAATTGTAAAGACTTGATAGAATCAATGTGGGGGATATTACCTCCTGTCCATTCCTGTGATGCGACAGTGATGCCCGTAAAAATAGAAGATAAGCAATAGGCTTTTAATGATTCTTATGCATCGAAAATCGAGCCAAGTAATGCGGGTTACTTGTAATAAGAAATCACCTATGTGAGAGAGAAGTGGGGCCACTTCTAAGGGAATTGTGTGGGGCACAATTCTTGTGAACTCTCACAGAACCAGGCGTATGTTCATGGCCAAAACGAACATAATAATGAGAAGTGAAATGTCTTAGGAAGAATCCTGTGTGAAGTGTATCATCATTTACATAAACGGCAGAACAGTTCAAGGACATCACGTCTACTGGTCAGTCAGTGAAGTAAATATGCTTTCACAAGGGAAGGTTCAAAGGATAACACCTACTTATCCTATGCAGGTTTCAACTGTTGAACTATATCACCAAGTCGTCATGTGTCACATTCATAAGTCATCATGTGTCACATGCATGAGTCGCTCCCAATTTTCATTCATGTAGGGGATTGTTGGAAAAAAAATTTGAGTTATGGGCCGACTTTGACACGAGTTTTGAGTGGGACCCGGTTGTTCAATTTGGAAGATGAAAGTTGATTTGTGTTTTCCTCCGTGAGTACATCGAAATCATATACTTACTTTCCAAAGATGATACTTGGGTGAATGAAAAATTGAGGCTCAAAGTGTGCCACTCAAAAGGGAGTTTATGTGAGAAAAATGAAGTTGTCCCACATAGGAAAAAGATGAGAAACTCCAAAGGTTATTGTCATTAATGGTAGCTTAGCCTATAAATAGTGGCTCATTTTCCTCATTTCAATACACCAAAACAAAAGATTTCAAGTTTAGAATACACAAGAGATTCATTTGCATAGAATTCTGTCTTTTCTGCATTTTTGTCTTAGTGGTGGTGTGGTTCAGGCACTAGTTCAGTTCGCCGGAGTGGTTTCTGCGGTGCTTGGAAGCTCCCGGTTTTACCGTTGTATCTTGATAAACGGACGCTCGTTTTAAACCTCAAGCACGGACGGTGAGGGGGCGAATCTATTTTAAGGAAACTGTGTGAAACACAGGCCTCGGTTTGAAATTTCATTTCCTACAATTTCAATTATTCGTTCTGTTATTTATTATAGTAAATTCAATAGTTGATTTGTTGTTCATTCTGTTATTATTCAATTAGTTGTACGACTGTAACTTGCTGTTATATATCATCTTATCGGACAAAAGGCATATACGGTATTGAAATCGAGAATATCGGATTCCTCATTTTTCATAAACTTACCGGATTTCAGAAAAGTTCGGTTGACCGAACTGGTGAAACTTGGGATTTTTCTTACATTCCTTTCATGAAAGATGAAGAATTAACCTTATTTGGTGGCGGGATAGGATAGTAGTATGGATAACCTGGACCTGGGGGTGGTGGATATGGAGATCCACTCCAGTAGCCTGGACCTCCTCCTGCTGGTGGTGGATATGGAGATCCACTCAAGTAGGGTAGCATCACTAGCATGCCTGGACCTTGTGGTGGTGGATATTGAGATCCATTCCAGTAGGGAGGCATGACTGGTAGTGGTGGTGGATACTGTCCATATGGTGACATGTGTGGTGGTGGTGGGAGATGGGATCCCATGCCTGGTGTTGGTGGATGTTGTCCATATGGTGGATACGACGATGGTGGGGCTGGTGAAGTTGCAGGTGGAGGGGGTGAAGTCGTCTTGTGATATAAATTTTGGAGGGGAATGGGGATGGATTCTGCTGGTGTATATCAAGAAAGCTGCCCTGCCAGGTTTTTGGGTTTTTTAAATCCACGTGGCAGAACCTGGTTTATTCTTTTTCTTTTTATTCAGGTGTCCACTCCTTTACAAAAAGGAAGCCAATTTGACCTCAACATTGAACAATAAAATTTTTCCATGCAAAATATCCACCAACCAATATGTATAATAAATAACTAATTAACGGTCAATTCAGTTTAAGTTTGTGCAATGATTCATAATCAAATTATGCCTTACTTGTGCAGCACATCATTCACATCTCCACAATATCTTTAATTTCGATTGGAAAAAATTAGAAGCCAATCAGAAGGATTAGAAATTAAGCCAGTCAAAAAAAATTGCAATAGAAAATTTGGGCATTTTTCTCCTCATTTTGGAGCACAAGATATTTTCATCTTCCATTGTACAAGCAACTAAGGTTTTATTCGATAATTTTTTAAAAATGTAGGATGTTTAGCCAACATCCTTGGAACCACCAGCCCGATAGCCAATGCAGCACCAATTACGGCCAACTAGGCAATGGCCTAGGACCTCAACTGGGGCCTCCAATTGAAAAACACAACATGATAATAATTGCTAATTTATTACTTAAAAATTCAAGTAATTATAATTTTGTGATTGACTCTAATTAAGTTCAATCTCATTCAAAATATTTTTTTCTTGGGTTTAATATGCATGATTAATTGCGAGTTACCAAATTAGACCAATATTACTATGGTAATATGGTTTAATTTGAAAACTAATATTATAAATAAGTTGTTCACTTTAATGAGTTATAACTTGAATTTGATTTATCCAAATTAACTTTTCAGTAAATCCATAATGTGTCATTTATTACGAGTTTCAAAATGAGTCCAATATTGATCTTCCAATAAATATGCATTTTGATCTAAATGCATTATTGACCTCGAAATTTTAGGCCCCCAAAATCTCAAATTTAATGAAAGGTTCTTGAATCAATATCATTAAAATCTTGTTATGTTTATCGTCGCAAAATAATTGTAACTCATCATATTATTATTTAAGAATATGCATTTCTCACATTTTACAATCTAATCCCTAAATTTTATACATTTTGTAATCTAAAACCCTCTTCTCCTTACATGTCATAATTGCAAGATTCTTAGGGCCTCAAATTATGGTTCTTAAATCGTTCCCTGGATTTCTAAATTACAACTTATTCGAGTATTTTCAATTAATAATTTTAGATATTATTATTTACACTCTGATAAGATCTTTTCATCGAAGGGATATAGTGCTTAAAATTATGCTACCCTAATCTCTCAAGTTGTCGATATAGTATTTTTTATTCTATTTTTTGGATTGTACCAAGTTTTTATTTAAAATATAAGTATATTATTTAAATATCTAAGTATTTTTACGCTTGTATAAGTGACTTAGGACCGCAAAATTCTCGTGTCAACTAAAAAGTTTATGGAGAAGGTTGCAACCCAATTAAGAGGTTGTAGACGAATCGTGTAATTTTCGTCCAGTGGGAACCTAAGCAGGACCAAAAATGGAAGTTTAAGAAGGACCAAATTAAAATGGCATCGATAATTTAGGGCCAGACCTATAATTTATTTCTCAAATAATTGATTAATTTTTGTACGGCTAGGGGAGAGGGGGAGGTCTTGTAAGTGACCGATGGAGGAGGGCGACGTCGAGATGGCGGCGGCAGACGGCGGATCTGGCGTCGTATTATTTCTCTTTATCGCACTTTCTGTGAATTTCTGTTTGTGTAATTTTAAATTCTTTCAGATTTATCTTCGCTATCCTGTGAAATCCCTAATTTTTGTACATATGTATGTGAATTTCTGTTTGTGTAATTTTAAATACTTTCAGATTTATTTTCGCTACCCTGTGAAATCCCTAACTTTTGTACATATGTATATTTGTGTGTATATGTATCGTTGGGCAACGCGTAGGAGCTAGATGATATGAAGAAGAGGCTTAAAGATATGGAGGACGAAGCGACCGCTCTCCGTGAAATGCAGTCAAAAGTTGAGCAAGAAATGGGCGCCGTTCAAGGTCACTCCTAATCCCTGTAAATAATTTTCTTTTGGAATTTAGATGCTTGTGGACGCTCACATTGCAAAAATTTCTTTCTTTTTTCTTTTCTGATTATAGCGTGTGAATTAGAATTATAGGCGTATTTCTTTTTCATTGTTGATGAGAAAAGTATGCGTCTTCACTTCAAGAAAAGGGGGTGCAGCAAAATATACATGGAAAATGTGAAAATTGAATTAACTTTAGCTTGTTAATATAGATTTATACCCATTCTCTTTTGAATCTTGAAATGGCTCCATTTAGGAGTAATTTTGTTTCTTCAAATAAAGAAAAATATATAATTACTATGCTTGGAAAAATTTTCAACTGAATGATGAGTCTATAAGGGCTGAACAAGGAGTATAAAATTCGAAGCTTTTGAATGAACTTACTCTTTTGAGAGTTTAAACATTGAATTGATGCCAAATTTACAAGATGAAGGTTGTTTAAACCTTTTTAGATATGATTGAGATTGCAATCCAAAAATAGTTAATTTGTTTAGACAAAATTTTAAGAAGTAAATAAGAATTTATTTTCTTGTGGTAATTGTCGATCTTCAAGTTAGAAAGGTTTTCTGCACATGAATAAGACTGGTCTTATTGACTGCTCAATGTTGATGAAATATATCTCTAATTCAGATATTTATTTCGTATCTCTGTAATCTCTGAATTCTTTCTCTCTTTCTCGTTTTCTTTTACGGTTCTAGATCAAGATGTCAAGTTGTAATCCTATGTGTTTCAACCTGCTGATTATGGCCTCATTTTATGTCTCATTGTAATTATCAATATTCTTGATATATTGTTCTCGCCATGTGTTAGTTTCTGGATCTGCGTGGTTTTTCTGCCAAGTTGTGGAATAAATATCTTGAACTTGTTTTCACTACCTATATGGTGTGTCAATTTTACTTTCTAGCCTTTTCTTGTATTTGGACATATACTTGCTGCTTATTTCTTTGGATTATTATTAAATTTATTTTTTTTGGCTGGGTGGGCAGATGCATGGGGTGATGAGAGGGTCTGAAGTGTAAAGCTTAATTTTTTTAACTACTACACCTTATATTTGGTGGTGCCTTATGTTTGAGTTACCCTTTTCAGTAGTTATTTGTAGACACTATTTGATAGACATCTGTTGGTGAGCTTCACCACAATATACTACAGTGGTCATGCCTCTGGCTATATGGACCTTGAGACCTTGACTGGTCCGAAGTGTATAAGGACTTATTTTTTGTTCATATGATCAGCACGTCTACTAGCGTTGTTATAAAATTAAATTCGAGATAACAATGTGGATCAATGAAGGTGATGATGTTTACTACTCTTTTAACTTTTATGAGTGGTATGATGCCCATGTCTAAGTAATAGCTTCTGTATGATAAAGTCAATGACTTCAATAGATACCATTTTGTATTACCTTTCTTATCAATGCCCATTTCCTTTATTGCAACCAGATCCTGCTGCTGCTGCAGCTAATCAGGCAAATAGAGAAGAAGTGGATTCTCGCTCAATCTTTGTTGGCAATGTAAGGCTTCTTCACCAACAAGTTGCAGTTGTTTTAAGAGAATTTCACATGTAGTCCTCGCCCTTGGTAACTTCCACTGCTGGTATTGTTTAGGCATCTTTCTATAAGGTGTGCTTTATGTGGATGAGCTGTTCTTTTTTCCATTTCTGGAACATGTTAGATATATCTATTTGAGCTATTCAAAAAATTGTTCCTAGCAGATAAATTCTAATTATGTCTTATGCAAATTAGTGAGCTGCTGAGTATTTTATTCTGATGCCACCTTATTTATGCTTGCTGCTGAATTAGACAATGTATTCCTCCACTATAATAGCAAGAGTAAGATAAGATGGATTTTATGTCTGCATATTCCATTTATTATTTTATGTATGGATATGTGACACGAACCAAAGAAATTGGCTGTGTGCGTGTACGAACAATGTGTGTTACCTTTCTGCCTTCTCGCTATCTTCACTGCTTTGCTTACAATTATTTGTTAATAGGAATTCTGTCTTTTGTGCTTCAAGATTGATTGATGCTGCTTGTTTTAATTTCTCTGACTTGGATACTTCCTTTTCCTTCAATGCTTCTGTTTGGGTTTCATTTTTTGTTGTTAAAATTCTACTTCTCAAAAATAAGTGGGTTGATTACTGGGTAGGACTAGTGAGTCCTAAGATATGTGTGTCTAAAATTAATGTTTGACTTTGAAAAGTAGAATTTAGGAAAAGAAAATGTATCCCAAACAGAGGCTATATATATCGTGAAAAATCATTTCTTTCTGAAATATTAGTTTTTGACATTTTTAACGTTTATGTTTCCTGCCATTAGTGAAATGTTGTTGATTGCATTATCTTAGCAATCATTGGTTTCAATTTTTCATAATGCTGACATAACTGCTTTACAGATTTGTTTCTGTAGCAATTTGTTGTTTGCTGACATAACTGATGAGTACCTAGGCTTGCATCATACATATTTTTCTTTACAAACTTCAGCTTTAATGTAGTTAAATACACCTACACGTATTCAGTAGATACATACAAGTGCACGTAACAGCACTCATA